CATCGACCTGTCATTGCTAGAGTCTGCTGACATTGCTCCATTGGTCTTTCTGTGTTCCAAAGTCTTGGAGAGCTCAAGAACAGTTGCTTTCGTCTCTTCTGACGGCTGAGCAAGACTTGATGATCGAAGAGAGCAGCAAAAAGGTCAGTTTCAATAAACAGCGGTGGGTGGTGGAAGTCTACTTACTACAGACGATCGAGAGTAGAGGCTAGGGAGGATGTTAGGCCTGAAAAGACCATTGTATCAGCCCACTGCAGCGCATCGAGGCCAGAAGCATGCTCATCTTGAGCCGACAGCTCGTCTACAAGCCAATTCTCGCGGTTGATATGCGGTGGCCTCCCCAAAGCAGCGGCTAGCCACTTGTCCATCGCAAAGATAAAAAATGACAGTCTTCGTCTCACAGATATTTGAGCCGATGGAATATTCCAAAGGGAGGGATCAAGGTGCAGCCCAATGTTTGTAGCTGCTGAGACTAGCGTTCCCATTGTTGTCCATCGATACGATGCATCTGACACCAGTGGATTTGCAGATGGTCGAACGATGAGCAGGAATAGAGTTTGGACGGTTGAAATACTTGGTGAATGCATGTCGAAAGCGACTGCAGTGTTGATCAGATGTGCTAGGTGTTCAGCATCGGGTGAGTCATAAGCCATGTCAATGCAGAGCTGGTCGTCGTACATGGCGAAGGGGAGTGCAATTGAGTATATAGCTGCCAAAAAACAAGGTGCGCTCGTTGCCGGATCAGCAGAGGACTCTGTTGAGAATATTGGGTAATGTGGTGCGATGAATCTGTTGTAAAGACTTACCAGCCTCTTGCCCATATTTTGGGAAACGGCCTTTTCAAGCTCCATCCGTTGTGATGATATCGACGCGCCAGTATGTCCATTCTCTCTCCTACTTTGAGTAAACAAGGATGGCTGCGAAATGAGAAATTGAACTGGCGTATGGTTGTTCACTGATCGTATCGCAAGCTGCTTGAACTTGAACGTGCCATGTTCATCTGACTGATATTGCTGGAGGAGATAAGGATCCATATCTCCACTCAAGCCGAGGGTTTCGGGGTGAAGGTTTTCATGACCATCCAGAAGCGGATGTATCTTTCCATATGGGCCATCTGTTGACTCAGCCGCGGTTGATGGACGGTCATTATCTGGTGTTTGGAACATGAACTGATATTCAGGACCGTCTATGTCAAGGTCTTGAAGGAAGTCCATGTTGATGTCGGGAAATGTGCTTGATTCTGCTGGTGAGATATCTTCAGGGTTGAACGGCGTGATAGGTTCTTCGATAACTTCGTTGGAGGAACCATGTTCGTTGCTTGCATCATGATATTCAGGGCTCGTCTCGGCTGTTTGCTGCCTTTTCCGAGGCCTCGCAGCCTCTACAAAGGTGCATTCTCTCCCGTATTGCTGGCATAACCGACATGGAGGTGAAGATTCGATCCGGCATGCTGTTTTGCGAGAACGGCAGAAGTCGCATGGTCTTTGCCGTTTGCTCATGTATTTACGCATCATGAGCCAGTGGAGGAACGAGGTTGAGGTAATGAAATAGAAGCGAATAAACCGATTGGATCTAAGCTCCAAATGGCACGTGATTTCGCCTGAATTGGGAAGGCTAATACCATTAGCGTAACGGTTAGAGCTATCTCAAGATCTCGAGGAGATGGCAGAGCTACTCATCCACTAACTTAGCACGCATTTATGAGACTAAAATAGAGTATGTCACGGCAAGAAAAATCAGGTTCACGGTGAGAACGTGGAGGGAATAGCTTGAAGAGCAACCCAAAAGCGATACAATCATAACAGGGTAGACGCTCAATTCAACGATAATTACAATTGAAAACTTTTTGATAAAGATTAACTATTAACGATAGGTATATAGAGGTCAAGACCATCCTAGCCAAAATGATATAAGAGTTTCGACATTTTGCCCGAAAGTTGACTGACAATGGACATCTCGGACGAAGTCGAATAACCACTCCGTGTTGTTTCCCCAGAACGCCTTCGTGACTGCATTTCCTTAACAAACTTTGGCCAGGTATTCGTCAAAACGAGATGCTTGATATGATGCTCAATGGAATCGAAAATAGCCGGTCCGAACTCAGCAGGGATAATACCACTATAGGTAGGTCTCTCCCTGGCTGAAGCAGGTGCTGACTCAAGAGACGTCGTTGTTTCAAACGGTATAGCAGGATGCACGTCCGCTTGTCCAAACGTCTCTCGTGCAGCTTTTTCGAACATCTTTTCCATGTACTTGAGATCCGCTGATCCAAGATTCAGCGGGAACTCAGCATCGCGAGGACTGATAAAGTTGGCGTAAATATCCAGGCCAGCATTATACGCATCACGAACATCTGCCTCGTCTGGTTCAGCGCGCCACGAGATCTTCCACCTAGTAACCTCAGTCAAGAAAGAAATATTCTCTCCCGAGAAGTCGTTCAGAGCTGAGAAGTCTTGTAGAGGCCCGGGATTGCTGTTGAGGGTGTAATTGAAAGCGCTGATGGTCAGAAGGGTGTCTTTCAACTCTTGGTCTGAGGATTCATATCCTCCTTTGTCGCCGAGACGCGTAGCTACTGAGGAACCTCTTCGTAGATCATTGAGCTCCCGAAGAGTGGACGTTGAGGACGTGGAATACCACTCGATATTCAGATTCTCGACGCGCTTGACGAGGATACGTTGCTTAATGACTTGGAAAGCTGGTACGAAAACAGCAAAGATCTCTAGAAGAAAGATTGAGACGTGAATCCTAGGCATGGTGAGTAATTTGATTGACAGCATAGGCAGTGTGGACTTACCATGAACTTGGAGGGAAGTAGAAGTTGACAGGCGCGAATGCGGGTACATAACTTGCAATCAAGAACATGGGCGTTGCGTGTAGACTGTTTATTACTGTTGGTAAAGTGTCCCGAATGTACCGTAACGTGTGAATGGCTGGGTACTAACCTGGAGAGGCAGCAGCCGATTGTTTGTGCTCGCCATCCCATAGTATCGTGGATACTCCATGACCTCCAAATCAGAAAGGGTGCGACCTGACGAAAGAAGAGTTAACCATGGAAGCATTGTCAGCTGTGAGAGTTCTTACCATCCATGTCCAAACTACTTGCCAGAGTACAGAGGGCCACCACTCCCAGCCCCGGCCTAACTCGACTATTTGCTCAGGAAGTGTCTGGCTCTCGATCTCGGTGCCCGGAATACCATAGGTGGGATGGTATTTGCGACATGCTAACCACATGCCAACTGTTAGGATAACCTACACATCTCGGTCAGCATTCCATCCGATCCACAATGACAAAACACGGATAACTGACCTGAACGACCATACCGATCCCTGTAAGGATCAACACCTTCTTGGTATATTCTAAGCATTGAAACCGGCATAACCAAGAATTGTAAGGCTGCGCCGTATTGAACTGGTCTCTCAGACCTGCACTACTGTACTTCTTCTGCAGCTTAGCTACATGAAGAAGCCGACTGTTGGATGCGTGGAAAAGAGCAATGCCGAGAGGAAACCAGATTCCCATAAAGAAATACTGTATGTCGTACGCCAGAACGATAGGTATGGTAGGTCCGACTGGATACACGATCTGGCCGAGGATCCAGTAGAGGTGAAGAAGGACAATCGCGGAGAATGACAGGAGGAGGCCACGGAGTCTGAGTAATGGGTTGTTGCGGTTGACCCAGCAGAAAGTCATACCAGAAAGAACCAGGAGGGTCCAAGCGACACAAAAGATGATGTAGAATATGCCGATTCGATCCCACCTGGCTGGGCTAGGTGGGATGTTGTAGATGGTGATGACTGGTGGCGTATCCATGGTGTCGCTATCTCACGGTGCCGTTGTGATAACAAAAGTCACAATAGATCAAGTCCAAAAACACAGATCTCTTTCATCACAGAGGAATTCCTTGGTATTAATATTGGGAGGCTTTGGGGCAAGGTGTCATGTCTTCCCATAAACAAATACAATTGGTAGGGTGACTCCACCCTCCCAAAATCTCAGAACTCATGAATCACATTAGAGCATTTAAGGTGAGACATTGGAGATCATCGCGATTGATGCAAGGGAGAGTATCTCCCTGCCTTAACGAACGGCTCGCGATTTTAGTTACCATTAGCAAGGGTCTGATGATGCAATGTCTCAGATGATCTGGAGGCGAAAACTTTTCCTTGCATCGCTATCGGGGACTTCTGAGATTAGATCGGACCCTCTGCGTCAGTATAAAGTTAGAGCTACCTGGTTTTCGGAGCGCAGAGTGGCCACAATGAGTATTTCAGCTTTGATTTGAAGTGCCTTGTTTTATTTCACCCAAGGTGGCGGTCCGATTGACCTTACCAAGCTAACTAGATCACGCAGTGGGCTCAATCTGCCCAATCAGAGAGGGCTGGGATGCTCACCGCGCCACACTGTCTTGGTACCAACAATGAGAGGCCAACGACAACCGCGATTGCTAAAATATGAATTGGAAATCAAAACACCACATCGTCATATTAGTTATGATTTATTACAGCTAGCGAAGGTGGTACTCCTGTAGATTGGCTCGTAATCAAGAAGCCTCTGACTTTCCCCTAAATACTACACATCGCTTTGGAGGCTTACTTTGGCTTCCCTGAATACTGAGTAATTGTAGCGGTTGATGCATTGACCAGAACTTTTAAGTAACTGAGCGTGACGCTGTGCTGAAAGCCCAGAAGAGTTTGTGAGTCATGAAGTTCTAGAGGCCTTTGACCTCATATAAGTCATTTTCAAAGATGGTTGCCTTCCAGGCAGCTGTGTCATATCATAATACATGTAAGCTGGGGTGATCAAACAAGGCTGTGATAGGAATCACACCACTGTCAAATCAGGTTTCAGGAGCAGTCCACTAGGCATACACACTCAGATACGTTGACGTTACCCCGCTTCTCATTAGATAACAAGCTGAACCTCGCAAGTCTCGAACATCTGCCATACTAGCGGCGCATCGGATGGCATCCTGTGTCGAGCATCGTCCCTTTCAATTTCAATGCGCCTGATCAACACGAGAACGCTGGAGCTCCACGAGTTCTCCAGCGATGATGTACCTCCGTATGCGATTCTGTCACATACCTGGGGCGCCGAAGAAGTTACCTTCCAAGATTGGCAGAATCGCCGTCCCGCAGCCTCAAAGCAAGGGTTTTTGAAGATTCAAAATGCGTGCAGCCAATCTCTGAGTCAGAACCTCGGATGGCTCTGGGTTGATACAAACTGCATCGACAAGACCAGTTCAGCAGAGCTGACTGAAGAGATAAACTCGATGTTTGAGTATTATCAGAAGTCAGAAGTCTGCTTTGCTTACCTCGCGGATGTTCCTACGTCAAGTGAGGATAAAAACCTGCTGTTTTCGCAAATCCGAGCCAGCCGTTGGTTTACCCGCGGCTGGACACTACAGGAACTAATAGCACCGCGTCATCTGGTGTTCTATGCGGCTGATTGGTCAAGGATTGGCAAAAAAGAAGGACCTTTCGCTGATCTCATCGCTTCGATCACAAATATTGATACTATTTATCTCAGCGGTGTGAGGAACATATCTAGCGTCTCCGTTGCGAAGCGGATGTCGTGGCTGGCGAACAGAAGAACAACAAGGATTGAAGACATGGCTTATTGCATGCTTGGTATATTCGACATCAACTTGTCTCCTATCTATGGAGAAGGAAGGAGGGCGTTCTTTCGTCTCCAGGAAGAGATCATCAGGACTTGCAACGATCATACCATCTTCTGCTGGGAGTGGAATGATGATGTTCCAAGAGACTGGGCAAGTTTTCTTGCACCGTGGCCGACCGTGTATAGAAGCGCTGGGGATTATGAACAGCTCAATAGCGACGGGATATCTGTCTTTTCAATGACTAATGCCGGCCTATCCATTCGTCTACCCGTCATAACAGCTTTCGGGGCCTCACACATCACGGTTAGCTCTTGGTTTGTCATGCTACAGGTGGCGCCAGCAGCAAGTGCTACTCTCAAGCATCAAGAGGTAGCATGTCTTCCGGTCATGGGCCGTAGAGTAGGCGATTTTCTGTACGTGACACGTTTGTCTTATCCACCTCTGCCGATGACTATATCGAGGGATCATGAGGCAAGCTTCAAAACAGAGTCTCTTATCGTGATGGACAGACTTTCATATCCCTCTAGACCCATGCATTTATCGAGGGCCGGTGCATCTCTTGCAATGAACCGGTCCGTACCCGGTAGAAGGTCCAGAAAGGTGAACCACTATACGGACGTCAGCGATGACAACATAATCACGTTCATCCCCATCTTCGTATCTCCGCGTCTCCAGGGCCAATGGGACTTCCATAATCTGTACGGGGGCGATATTAAGCCGCGTTCGCTATTGAGTGCTATTACTCTGACAACTGACGCTGACAATATTGGGGTGGCGGCAATAGTGATCACAAGAGCCGGCAGGGTTCCAGTTCCAGAGTTTTATATCTTGCTGGGGGTAGAGAAGGGAAAAGACTCCGATTATGTCACGGCGAAACTTGTAGAAGCACGAGAGGCATGGAGTGCTGAAGGCTTGGGGAAGACCATGACGCAATGGAGGCAACGAGTAGCTACGGGCCGCTCCGCAATATCAGGTGCAGATTACAACGACAATCTCGAATTAGCAATGGTACTAGGAAGGTCTACTGATGTCATAAGAAGTACCAGAAACTATCATTTCTTGTGTTTCTACGAGGGCGGCGTTGCACATAGTGCAGCCAAGATAGCACGAGGGAGGTTGTAGATGAATATTGGCCAGGACCTTCGGGTTCAACCTATCACAATCAAGTTCTCCTCCTTGAAATAGCAGGATCAACTGCTCAAATTTTTAATTCGTTGTAGTCGCCAACATGTTCGCCGGGCAGTATTTTCTAAGCGAAACTTCGGATCGTAACTTACTAGGTATATGAAACTAATATACAGCATCTAACATAAATTGATCAGCATCCTCATCATACGGCCCCGGCTCCCCAAATAAGAATCCCAAGGAGCCATCCTTAATGTAAAACCGTCGATTCCAGGTTCTCCCATCATTCCGCGAAAAGGTAACCTCACTACCAGTAATCGAGAACTCGCACTTGACTCCATCAAGGGAGTCAAATACCACCTGCCGCATAACGGACTCAGACTCAGAATCTTCAGGTCTCGCCCTCGGTCCGCTGGGCATCCCCTCGACGTCAACAACAAGGTTACCATCACTCAGCTGGAATTCTGTTCCTTCCCACTGGTCCTTAACTAGTACAGCTTTCCACGTTTGTGTGTCGATGGTGACGACCTTGACCCATTGTTTGTGGTAAGGCAAACCCTCCGCGTTGACGATGAGATGGAATGTGTTGTCGACGACAATTTCATCGCCCTTGAATCTCAGGTCAAGTTGTAAATCACCTCTGTCGTTGAACTTGGGCTCACGCATGGCGAACTCGCCTGCTCCTGGGAACACGAACTTGCTTCTGTCGTTGAGAATAGCCGAGAGATCTTTGGTGAAATCACGTTTCGCCAATGCCTCTGTGACGGATTCCTCGGTCTTCTTTTCAAATTCTCTCATGTCATCGTCCCCCATTCTCCACCATTGGCGTGAATTATCGTTTATCTGTTTGCTAGTGACTTTTGGCGAATCCGCAGTGATTACAGTCTCAAGCTTCCCGTCTTTGATAGTGTTGAGACGTAATTTCAGAGACCATTTCAACTCCACGATATTCTGGAACATGCCGCCATCGTATTCAACTCTCCTCATGGAGTTGAGTAACATGGAGATTTCGACTTCATCACTGCCTGGCTTCCACTTCATGTAGTTACCCACAAAGGCGTGCCATGAGTCGTATTCTCGATCGCCGATTTTCCTACCTCCAGGCGCTTCCCAGTCGAAGATTGCACCCTTATCTGTCGGACGCCACCAAGCTGTCGACGGCTTTCCCTTCTCTGTTAGCTTCCATGGATTATCCAGTCCTCTGCCGTCGGTCCGAATCCACCACCAAATATCATTGGCAATGGACAGTGCCTGTAGGTTGAATTCGGAAAATCTATCAGCTAGATATGCATCCCAAAAGACAGCTTTCGACATAGTCATGCTGCAATCGACTTTACCTGTCACCCAATTGACTGGTAAACTGTCATCGTAGTCTCTCGGTTCAGGCAGGGCCTTGTTTCCAGTCATCTGGAGGAACATGAGAGCGTCCAGACCTCCTCTGATTGGCCGCTTGGTGTTGGGGAATTGGTCTTTGAACTCCTGAGTGCAGGGGGTGTAGATCTGGGTGCGCAGGAATACTGCGGTTGGTTGAAACTCGGATGGAAGTTGGTTGTCGGCTGTCTTGTTTACTTTGATGGTGTAGCCCAGTACAGAGTAAGGGCCTCTTCCAAGCCAAGTTATGTATTGCTCAAAGAATCTCTTGAAAGCAGCTAGGACGATGTCATACATGTCGCGTTTTGTTTTGACATCTGGTGTGGCGGGGAGGTTGCTGGCATCCCAGTTGATTGATGCCACGCTGGCATTGCTCAACGTCAATATAATCTGTGACACAGAGTAGCTGCCCGGCGCGATGGTGGAAATTTGCTTTTGGATGGGGTCTGGAGTCTGGGCCAGCTTCTTCTCGTTGAAGTTGACGTTGAGCGCAATTGACCATCCATCGACCTTCTGAATAAACTTTTGGAAGTCATCGGGGGAGCTCCCGCTCCACCACACAAAGGTGCCAGAACGAAAGTTGACAAAGAATTGAACAGTCTCACCCCCGTTTCCGCTTGCAACGAGCTGGATGTGGGGCGAGGCGAGCTCTGCCTTCATGACTCCGAAGCTAGGAATTACGTGGCGGAACTCTCGAAGCCGATTATCCTTTTTCTTCTTGAGAAGATTGCTATACCTGAGTCTCAAGGTGGCGTTGAGGGTCTCCTCGGAGATAGCAATGACGTCATCGTACTTTTGGACATTGTTGTTTTGAAGACGCTTAGTCACGGCCTGGTCGTGTTCTTGGTTGAAAATCTTTTCAGTGGCTTCATCAAAAATGAACCGCTGGCTCCTTGGGTCAATAGGCCATCCGGCCCCAACGAATTGAGAACTCATTTCGAGCCTTTGCTGTATGCTTCGGTGTAAAGATAGATAGGAGAACAGAGTGATGCGAGGGTTTGTGGCTGTAAGTGTCGAGGCCTCGGTGTTACCTTGTGCTGGACTATATCTATATCGTAGCCGGTCATGGGAACCTAAAGCGCTATCACATAAATGGAAGACTAGAAGGCATGTCTCCAGATTTGGTCGAGTGGAATCAATAGCGCGAGCTTAGACCTTGTCCAAAATATTCTACGCCACTTTTTTGGCCTGTCCTTGTAACGTTTAATCCCCAGTCACTCGCTCTTCATTGGGCCTGACCCTCGTTATCAGCTGCGCGCTTAGACTGCATTGCATACCTGGCGCAATATGGGTGGTCTTGGATGAATGAGTATCAACCTGCATGAGACTATTGGTTATCACATCAATATATTTAGAAAACAACGCAGCTGATGTCCCTCATTTGGAAAACCCAGCCTATCGAGGTTTAGTATCGTACGATATGTTCGGAATGTACGGAGAAGACCGAGGTCCAGATCCATCTTGGCGATGGCAGTGCGTGAATGCTAATGAATAAGGGAAAACATAAGGCTCATAGTCCGCCATGCCTTTTGTTCTTTTGGGATAACGAACTACAAACCGACCCAATCATCGCTAACATGTCGAAAATCCAATTTGATTGCGAGCTAATGCTTCAGCCCTTCCCTGAAAGGCTGCTAACTGACGCTGAGAGTTTCCATGTACTTCAGGATGCTGAAGCGAGACCTGTCATCCTATGCATCGCGTCTAACCTCTCGCTGCTTATGGTAGCCCCAGACGAACTTGGGCAAAACCAAGTTGTCAACTTGTCTGAGAAGCTGAATCTTACATCAAGCGTCAAATCACTGGCCGTCACTCAGGACCATGCTGATGCCAACAAGGTTTATCTCGTGATTGCTACAGGAGGGCAGAATCATGCTACTAGCTATCTACACATCCTGCAGCCTTTCCAAATTGAAACCGGATCGTGGTGGGAGAGGCTTGACTGGCCATCTCTATTGATGAAGCCGGTGAAAGATGGACAATATGAGGTTCACAAACTGTTACTGGTGAGAAAAACTTCCATAATGATATACACTACAGTTCTAATAATATGTCTCAGGCAAGCCGTTGTGACGAAGGGAAAGACTTTCCGTTTCTTGCGGCCGAGACGGCTGTTCCTGGAGTGCCTAAGCACAATGTATCACTTGTCAAGGTTGATACAGCATCGAGCCAGTGGCAGTGGGAGTCGGACTCCTCGGTACTACCATTTGATGTTTCCGAGATCGATTGCCTCTGCGTTGCATCCAGTCTCTTCACTTCAGGAATTCTGTACCTGGACAAAACCCAAGGCCAGCCAACTGTTACCTTTACGGATCTGCGCACCACGGGTGGCCCTGCCTTCTTCTACAACTTGCCTATCCTCCCAAATCCGACGTCCATCGCAACCATCGCCGATCCTGATGGTGCCAGCAACGTCCTAATCACGGGAGATGGGGGCATTCTACATGTGCCGGCACAGGATTGGAGCGCCTCAGTTCCAGTTGGTACCACGTGGGAGCCAACTCTGGGTGACACAGCGTTCCAGGGTGCTCATGAGGTTCATGTCGCCCAAGATGGTCTCTCCTCCACAGTGTGGGCTATCAACGGTGACGGACATATTGTTGGTCAAAACACCAGGCTAGTGCCTAGGGTTGGTGACCCAGGAGTTCTAGATCTTAAGGCGGCAGGCAAGGCCATTCCTCTATTTCCCACAAATGACGCCATCCGTCACTTCGAGGCGATCAAAGATGCGAAAACTGGAAGGCGGCAGCTTTTCGTGTTGAAGACTGGAGGCTCAGTGACTTGGTTTGATCAAGCTGGTGACTCGGACCTGTGGTCTTGTTCAGACTTGCGTATCCCAGACGTGGAGGAAATCAAGGATGTAACTGCATATACATGTCAGATCCAGTGTGTTGACCAAGAGGGTGCACCTCTGGCCGATACTGAGCTCAGAATCTCGACTTCCAGCCAGGTACGCGGTGCTATTGACGGTGAAGTAGTCTACCTAGGCCGAAACTCCAGACCGGTCCAAACAAATGAAGAGGGCAACATTACCATCAGCATCCCTACAAGTGATCTGGTGGTGCCAACAATCACAATTAGGGGTCCGGGATTACCTGAGACATCTTTCAGACCAGCCGACAAAGTCATCAAGAAGCTATCAAACCTTGCGCAAAGTGGTAAATTAAAGGATGCACGCAACAAAGACGGCTCACTGCTTTTCCCCAAACTCAACGACGAGGCAACAAAGTCAATTGGCGAGTTACACAATACATACAGTCAGCAAAATGAAGGAACATTCGACCTTCTTGCACTTCAAAAAGGAGATAGCTGGTCATCAAGCGACTGGGGCTTCCTCCAAGGCCTTGTTTCCGGCGTCGAAAAGGTCGTTGACTTCGTCTGTGAAGCTGGAAGATTAATTGTCAATACTGCCAAGAATGTCTGGAACTTCATTGTCAAAACGGCTGAGCAGGCACTCAAGGCCATCTCCAGCGTATTCGAGTGGGTTGGCGCCAAGATCGAGGATGCCCTTGTGTGGCTGGCAGAGCAGCTGGACTGGGAAAGTATCATGGATGTGCAGCTGTTTCTAAAGTCTCTGGTCTTGACAGGCCTGAATTGTGTCGAAGACATGGTCGCCATGGGTAGCGAACGACTTGATCATGTCTTGGAGCTTGCCGAAAAAGAGGTCGGATCTTGGCACTCACCTCCAGCGGTTCCAAAGGCATTTGCGAATCAACGCCTCGAAGCAGATCCGGAAAAAAATAAAGACAAGGCGAGCGTCATGAGCAACCCAATGTACACATGGGCACAGTCAAAGTTGCAGGACAAGAAAGTCCGCAAGTCAATGGACGTCAAGGGTTCGGAACCGGGACAGTCTTCATCCTCCAACGTATTTGACATGATCTTTGAGAAATTATTGAAGCCTCTTTGGGAAACATTGGGAGACACCGCGGAGAATATCTGGCAAGATCTCAAAAGGCTATTCGAGAGCGGGTCGACTCTCACAGTAGCCGATATATTCAAGAACGTGGGCGTCGATTTACTCGTTGGGATTATCCGTGCTGTTCGAACGAGCGCTAGCTTTCTCTTCGAAGTGATTCTAAAGATAGTGTCACTTTTCCGGTCTGTTTTCAACACCAAAATGAATATTTGGGTCCTGACCAAGCTCTACAAGCGGGTGAGCGGGGGAGACGACCTCACATTTCTAGACTTGGCATGTCTTGTTGTTGCTGTCCCAACAACATATCTGTTCAAGTTGTTCACTCTTGGAAAGAAACCTCGATCTGTCCCCGTCTTTGCGAAACTTCTCTCAGAGTTAAGATCCTCATCACCTGCTTTTGACTCCCTCGCCCCGAGCAAACAATTTCATGTGAGTTTTGCGAATTTGGAGTCTGGTCATCGTCCGGAAGGTCTTGACCGCAAATCTAGTGCAACATGGGGTGGTGAACATATCGCTACCACAATCCACCGAAACGTTGAAAACAATGCTAATATTTCACGCTTCGTCCGAATTTGCCGGCTTGGCATGGTGATAACATCTTGCTTGATGCCAGCCTATACGGCCTACGATACATTCACCACTTCAAAGACCTGGTCAACCGCACTTGACCGTGAAGGCCCAGGTGAAGGCATTTCCATCTTCCAGCAATTTTCGCCAACAATCGGCCTGGTCGGCTACATTGTGACGCTTGGCACTTCTGCCGTTGCGGTACTGCACAAAACCAACTCCAAACGCGATAACTGGGCAATTGGAATGAGATGGGCTCTCTGGTTATTCCAAGGCAGTCTCAACTTGATCAAGTTAAAGGCACCCAAGGAGAATAAGCCCCATTGGTGCTTAGGCATTGCTGTTATTGACATAGTCGGTTATTCTTGCGTGCTGTACGTCGAGGAGGATCAGGAGGAGACCGATACTGTTGTGGAAGCTTTACAAAGGTACTTGGAAGGTGGATGGGCCTTGGGGAGCTATTTCAACTGTCTCACTAGAGGAGGTCAGCCACATCTTCGAATCGCTACCATTGCCGCGGGAGGGGTAATGACCGTCAGCAACTTGGTTGCGGCTGGAGCTAATGTCATATACTATAGCAACCATAGTGAGGACGATGATTACATACCCCCTTCGTGGTCGAACTCACTATCGGGCTCTTTAGCATAGTTAAGTCATTGAACACCTATTATCTATATGACTAAACCTTGGGTGACCGCCTGTGGCGCTTCAGCCTAGCATCTGCTTGTATGACTTTAGGAAGGCATGTCACGTACTAATAGGATAAGTTGGCGGGGTAAGTACACCGCCCAGGGCTTGTGCCGCTTACAGCGATACAAAAACAAGTCATTAATTAGTGGCTCGACCCAGGTTCTCCGGTCTGCTTCCCACAGATCAACATCTTTTTGTCAACAAAGCCTCGTCAACATAACTAACACAAACCTTACCGCCCCCATATCCAAGACATATGACAACACATATTAATACACTGTTCGCAAAACATGGCTTTCGAGACGTCTAACAACGCACTGTCGTCTTCTCAAACACCACCGGCATGGAGTGTAATCCTGTTCACTTTCAGTGATAGAAATACTGATTCAGAGCTGGCGGTTATGTGCAACAATAAACGCTTTATCATACGTCTCTCGGCCGACACCTTTTCTAAATCGCCTAAATTGAAAGACCGTTACCTTTTCTTCTTGCAAGTTGCTGAAGAGTTCGAGCTAGACGGTGTAACTGTCGAGGACTTCTGGGATTGGATTGTCGACCCTCTACTCCCTATCTTCCAGGAACTGTCCACTCCAGACCAGGCAGACCTGCAAACTTTGCACGGCTTTTTCAACCCCGAAACCTTTGTTTATACCTTTCAAACGGTCTCCGATGACAGGATACCATATCTAGATAGAGATGCCCAACACCAATCTCTATTCGGTATTTCTGTTCCTGCTGAACTCTGTGCGTCGTGGAAGACCTTTGATCCATCTGAAGTGCGGATTTGTCAAGAGAAAGTGATCGGTCCTCCTTCTCATACGCCGCGCAAAGCCCTTCTGAACGACGGGACAATTGCATTCCTCAAGCTCGTTCGCCGTGGGGACAAGCAGTCCCTGAAAAATGAGCTGGACACATATGGGAAGATCGACAGAGCAGAGCTTGACAACAAGATGAGGATATCACGCCTCCACGGCCTAGTGCGGAATAACGATGGCGTTACTTTCGGTCTCTTACTTACCTATATTGACTGTGGGCGTGTAACACTGTCGTGTGCATTGAAGCCAGAAACCGAAGTTTCACTAAGGGCGAAATGGGCTGCACAAATTCAGGAAGCTATTATCCAACTACATGATGCTGGAATAGTGTGGGGAGATGCCAAACCGGACAACATCCTAATTGATGTAAATGAGGATGCTTGGCTTATTGATTTCGGTGGTGGATACACGGAGGGATGGGTGCCTAAGATCCTTGTCGGGACAGTGGAAGGTGATCGCATTGCTCTCGAGAAGATACTAGAATACATCCGCAACTAGAACATCAATCAAGAGGCCATTCATTTGCCTATCATTAGTCCGTCACTTATCCTAACTGACTATGTGTACATTTCCAGCTTTTGACCCAGCTTTTCACACCCTGTCAGATGAAGAATCTGGACCCCGCAACATTGTATGTGTTGGTCGTGAATTGTTTACTTTTTCACGTATATCAACAAAAAAAGTGATGGGTCTCCGTGCATGTATTCACTTCACCTCAAATATACACCCCGGCTCATTGCCTTTGCTAAGCGCTGTTGCCTGATCCAACTTCACACCGCTTTCTGTTATAGTAGCTTACTAGGCAACATAACCGTAGAACCCAGGAGATGCATTTCCCATCATGCTCTTTATCATCTGAACCATTCCCAAATTGAACGGAGTTTCTTCCAAGTCAACGCTGTTAATTTTCTTATAGACCAGCAAATCAAAAACCAGCAAAGATGGCATCTTCCTCTTTTGCACTTTCGCAAACCCTTGGAGGAATCACCCAAACCAAGATAAGTGAACTTGAAAAGCAGCGCACTATTTACGAATCACGAAAGGACAAGATCTTGGAACAGGCCAATCAACAAGATGATCGAACTGCAAGAATCAACCTCCTCCTAGAGGGAGTTGAGAATCTCAATGCTGAGGCTTTCCAAAGCCCTGCAGTCAAGAACATCAAGCACTGGCTCAGTCAGTCGAAATATGATGTTTCTGTTCCAAGCGCGTTCATGCAGGCTCATGAAGAACTACTTCGGTCGCATTTGGAGGTACCAAGTCGGAAACTAGCACTAGGCCACCTCTATGCTCGTCTCATCACGGAATGGATGACTGCATCTCTCAGCGACCGTCCAGCCTCGGAGGAAGATTCTTACGAGGTTGTGGATCAACAAAAGGAGAGGCTGCAGCAGCTGTGCGACAAGTTTGAGCGAGTAGTCTTTGAGCCGCTGGAAACTGATGAAATTGAGATTGACCTCTACCTCAACGAGCTGTTCCAGGGTGACCCGAGTGAAGAGGCTGCTAAGCCACTCAAGGCACTGAGAGAGACAATCGGTGACTCTTGCAGAGAAGTCTTTGGTGAAAAAGCGCCATTCGATTCCACGACACTCACGTGGTGTATCAATGGGCTTCTCGCTGAGGATTTGCTCAGCGACCAGAAACAGGCCATTCTTCGAGACTTTCTTGAGAAGCCCGTTGTTTTGGGAGAGATTGCCGATGTCCTCAATATGCGTTTCTCCAACATTGACAGCTGGGAATGGGATGCTGGTGAACAAGGCAGTAAGTCCACCAGAATTGTTCTTCTTGGAGAAATAACTAACTCGATTGCCCTAGTCCCTGTGCTTCCGAGACAGCAGTTGAACGGTAAATACAGAATCTGGATGGACGAGGATGTGTTGCAAGCAATTCTCATCCACTACATCGGGATTCAGTGTTGCGTTGCTCTCAAGAAGGCTCTCGACTGTTTTATCACTCAGTATAGCTTCTGGAAATGGAACACTGGGCCAGATCCTAGCCGTGATGAGAAGCAGCGTCGCATGTATTACCTGGCCAGTGGAGCTACTACAAGCTCGAATCTCGTGAACGAGAGAAAAAGGCAGTATGTGAATGAGTTTTTCATGTCACAGCTACCGGAGGATGTTGAGACGATTGGGGCTGGTGGCTATACTGATCCAACAGAGGAGAAAGACAACTCCAACAAGCCCAACATTAAACAGAGCCTACTCCGAACGCTCGCTACAGAGGCCACCATACAGAAAACCTTGAAGGGTGAAGTGTCGTTGATACAGACCGACCTGGAGTGGTTCGCCACGGGCTTGTCGCATACAACTATCTTCGCCACCATGCGATTCTTTGGCTATACCGAAGGTGCCATCTCGTTCTTCAAGAAGGTTCTTCAGGCACCTCTCAACGTGCAGTCCTCTCCAGATTCGCCGCTGACGGGCAGTCCCAGAGTGCGTCGTCGTGGAGTGCCGATGGCTCACGCACCAGAGAAGCTCCTTGGCGAGCTTGTCCTCTTCGTCATGGATGTTGTGGTGAACCAACAGGATGGGATGCTTCTCTACCGACTCCACGACGACCTCTGGCTATGTGGCGAGCCACTGCACTGCGAGAGGGCCTGGGCTGCTATGAACCAGTATGCCAAAATCCTCGGCCTCACCTTCAACAGGGGTAAAACCGGCTCTGTGTACATAACAGAAAAGGGAAAAGAGAGAGATGTCTATGTTGCTAGCGCTCTGCCCGAGGGTCCTGTCCGAGTTGGGCATTTATCTCTTGACCCTGTGTCGGGGATATGGGAAATCGACCGTGAGGAGGTGGAGGGGCATATGAGGCAGCTGAAGAAGCAATTAGATGGATGCATAAGTGTGCTGGAGTGGGTGCAGACGTGGAACAGCTGCATGGGACGGTTCTTCAGTCATACCTTTGGAGAACCAGCACATTGCTTTGGTCTGCATCACGTTGACAGCATTCTCGAGACTTACCAGATGATGCAGAAATTCTTATTCCCCGTTGCGTCACATTCATCACAAAGCAGCCATGGAGCCGTCAGCCATATAAAGCACATGATCAGAGATCGCTTTGGAGTAGATGTACCCGATGCATTCGTCCATTTACCTGAACGCCTGGGAGGACTCGGTCTAAGGAATCCCTTCCTGCCTATTCTAATGATTCGGGAGAGCATCGCAAAGAAGTCTCCGTCCACAATCATTCAAAAATTCTTCGATGCAGAAAAGGAAAGATATAAGCGATATAAGAAGCACTTTGACTCTCTGGCAAGTGTCGAAAGTCGCATTAATGATGCTGTCAAGGCCGCAGGAAGTGCAGGAACTGTGAGCTCTGAAACCTTCAAGAACCTTCTTTCGACCAAGGAGCTGGAAAACTTCTTCAGCATCGAAGAATACACAAAGCACCGGGAGCTAACGAGTAACGCCCTGTTGAAGGCTTACATGGCGTTGAGAACTGTACCAGTCGACATTAGCCCAGACTTGGACTCTGATGTTTCGTGGACCCTTAACCACGAGCTAGGCGCCAATCTGAATAACTCGGGCAGCAAGACGAAAGAATTCCGGTGGGCGTTGCAGATGTATCGGGATGTCCTGCGTCGTGACTATGGAGGCTTGCGTCTTGTGGATAAGGAACATCTGCCGCTAGGTGTGTTAACATTGCTCCGGAGTAGAGCAGTAACATGGACGATGGTTCTATAGTATAGACTTTCAATGGCCAAAGCTCCGGAATAGAGTCTCGAGAGCAATAGAAGCTTGTGCTCTCGCAGTATTCTACAAATTGCCTTGTGCTAACGATGGTCTAGACACGGCCATGTTGCTCCATGTTTGTCCGTTGAGGATCTATAGGTAGGAGAACGCAAAGGCAAGCCACCAATTCATATCTCCAGTAACTTGATATGCCTCGTTGAGATGTCATAGCCTTTAACTATCGATCAATCATATCTACAGTAAGTACCTGACACCTCATTGACTGTCTATATCCTTTGTTTTCCAGGTGTGGTATTTGCATTTGAGACTGAGGGCTGAAACCTGAAATCAGCAAACAGAACGTAGTCTAAATCCTCACTGTATAAATAATTATTACCTGCAGGAAATGCTATTCTTGCTTGGTTCCAGACGATCTATGGAGCCGGGCGAGCAACCGCTTTTGCATATCCAATAACATCAAGGTCGCTAGTTTACATGTTAGTAATTGCTTGATGATCCTATACTCACATGGTGAAGCTTACGGATCACAGCATATGGGAGATATATCCCAAGTAGAGTTTGCTTGGCCTCGCGAGTAATAACCTCTGGGCCCAGATACCATATGTCGTTGCAAACCACAGCCGTGCAAAGGCCAACCACTGCACCATAGATGACGCCTGCAAGCTCCGCAGGACCAGACATGCGCTGCTTCGATAACAGTGCGCGAGTGAGATAGATTGCTAGAGGGAACTGCACAACAAGCTCAACATAGACTAGGAATTCGAAGAAATGCCCCGGAATGTCAATGCCGTAATAAGGGTCTGAAAAGGTTGTGATGTACCACTGACGAAGTGCGGCGAGCAAGTGGAATGGCGAGCCACGAGGTTGCAATAGAGACTGTGGATAGAATGGAACGAAATCGATGCCTAGTCCAGTTATGAGTTACGGACATGTGCTTGGTGGGCTAAGTAGACTCACCTAGCATACCAACTAAATGGAAAGCTACAATAATTAAATAAATATAATCGAGAAATGGCTTGTGTGGCGACATGGTGAGGATGTTGGTCGTGTTAACCCAGATTATGAAACTTTGAACTGACAAGATACGTACGTGTGAAATTGTAAATATAAACATAACGGAAGAGCGAATTACTTAGTTAAATACCTAGCCCGCGCATTGATGTCAGCCCCGAACGTCCCGAGATGAGGTTTATTAGTGCTGCTACGGTACCGGTAAGGCACCGCGATGATTGGCCAGAAAGTTGGCGATAAGCTCAAGGAAGTAAATTGTTGGACGGCAGATGTCTCAAGTAATCGTGTTCATTTTCTTTGGGGCCCTCATTTATAAGGTATTTATATCCTCCATATCAATTAGGCAAAGCTAACTCTGCGAAGCGGTCGGTGGATTAAGGTATGTATAGATTGTGCCTCGACGCAGCTGTTCTTCATTGACACGCGCCTTGAGATAAATAGCCTGATTACGCCGTTTCCTTGCCGTAGGAACTTAATTTGCAGCGCCCTACGAATTATATATCCTAGTACCAAGTGTTTTGGGGGCTTCTTAAGATATAGGGATGATTAGATAGTTCTAGAGCTTTTATATGCTGATCCCCGTTTCATGCTGCAAGACTTAAACAATACGCAAGCCTCGTCCTGAAGTACAGCGATGTCATGGAACACGGTGCTAGTCACTCGTTGTGATATTAGGTAGGTGAGGAATATTTCAACTTCTTCCTACATCATTAGAGTCAAGTCATGATGACGATTGAGATGACGTCAACCATCGTCAGAAGCCATTTTACCATTACTTCAATGGAGAATTCAACCTCAACCTGAACAAAACAAACAACAACCCATTTGTCAAACTATTTTGACCTCCTATATACTCTCAAAATGGTGATCCAATACCAAGGGTCCCAAGTCCCCATCTCGTTCGCATCATGCAGCATCCCCATGAAGATCAAGGCCAGTCTTCCTGATAAGCTCGGCGCCATTCGAAAAGCCGGGTTTGACGGTATTGAGCTTTCCATGCCTGACATTCTTGACTATGGAAAACTTCTCAGTGGATCTCAACCAAAAGAGGATGACTACGACACTCTTGCGGATATTGCGAAGCAGATCAGGTCGTTGACGGATGAACTTGGCCTTAAGATCATGATGCTTCAGCCTTTTGCGAATTTTGAGGGTTGGAAGAAGGGCGAGCATGACGAACAGAGGAAGAAGGCTTTTGAAAAAGCAAGAGGATGGGTCAAGGTCATGGAGGCTACTGGTATCACTTTGCTACAGGTAGGCTTCACTGACTCACCTGTCCTTGCAGTCGCTGACATTCACAGGTTGGCTCATCCGACTCTGAAGGCATATCATCCTCACTGGATGACTTGGCCTCCGATCTAGCAGAACTGGCAGACCTCCTCGCCGAAAAAGGCTTCAGCATCGCCTACGAAAACTGGTGCTGGGCCACCCACGCCCCAACCTGGAAAACAGTCTGGCAAATCGTCCAAAAAGCCAACAGGCCCAACATTGGTCTGTGCCTCGACACCTTTCAAACCGCAGGTCTTGAATGGGGCGATCCAACTACGAAAGACGGCCTAGTCAAAGCAAGCAGCGATGAAGAGCGCAAAACTCGCTGGCACAAGAGTCTTGAAGAACTAGCTTCCACTGTGCCAGCAGATAAGATTTACTTGTTGCAGATCTCAGATGCGTACAAGATGGACCCGCCTATCGAGGATAAGAAAGACGAGGAGGGGAGTAGGCCTAGGGCGAGGTGGAGTCATGACTACAGGCCCTTGCCGTGTGATGGTGGATATTTGCCTGTTCAGGATGTGCTGCATGCTGTGCTGAAGACGGGATTTAGGAGTTGGTTGTCGGTGGAGGTGTTTGATGGCCTTGAAGGTGAGAGTACTGACATGAATGAGTATACTGTTGCGGCTGTTGAGTCGCTGAAGAAGCTCATTCAGGTCAGTGAATGATTGAGTTTACGAGTTGCACCAGAGGCAGTATTAGAGCAATAATAAAAGTTTTATCACAATCGTGCTGGTTCCTCCTATTCCTATACTCCTCTTTGCCTTTTTTTACATCAGGACACCTTGCTCGTGACAGCAGTATATCCCACCAAGTCCTCCAAAGCGTTGCCGTGCTCTCTTTCAATAACCTCAGCATGTTTCACAGACCGGGGTGTGATTGAGCAAGGGAATGGCAACGGGCTCGAGTTGAAGCCCTCCGAATAAGCGAAGCTATCCAATATTAGTATCAAACCTTCTCTGTGTAGTGGGTTCTCCAACTCACATATCGACATCGACATCTCGCCCCTTCTCATTCTTCTCAGGGTTGACCTCAAATCCCCATAGGATACGCGCGATGTTAAGTGTAACGGATGCAGCTCCGAGATGCATCCCGGGGCAGATTCGTCGACCCCAGCCAAAAGCGCTATGGCCAAGTGTGCCAGGGTATTCTCGCTTCTCCATGAAGCGTTCTGGCCTGAACTCGTGAGGCTCAGGAAAGTCGGCTTCGTTGAGATGCACTAAAAGCATCAGCTATTGTCAAACAACCATTAAATGCCATACTCACAGGTCCAAAGTGGTGCGATGATGGTACTTCCCTTGGGAATGAACATGCCCTTATAGACATGATCCGCAGTGCTAGCATGAGGTGTCCCCCCTAGTACAGCCACAGGTCTCCATCGAAGAGTCTCAGATGCGATAGCTCTAACGTATTCCAGCTTTGGTAGATCGTCAAATGACGGGAGTCTATCACTTCCGACTACTCGGTCCAGCTCTTCTTGAGCCTTTGGGATGAATTGAGGTCCGAACTTGACGCAGGCGAGAAGGAAGCTTGCGAGTGAGCCCGCGGACTGTTAAAATATTAGCCACAAAGTACTCGTCATAAAATGGTAGACTCACGGTCTCAACACCAGCACCGAAAGGTGATCCAGCTGTATAAGCAATTTCGAGATCACTCATACCCAAGCTCTCTTGCTCTTCGAGAAGATGTTTTGCAAAGCAAGTTGATGCAGTCCCTTTAGCGACCTTTTCACGAACCTCGTCCATGAGCTCTGTATATAGTTGGATATCTTTCTGGCGCTGTTGAAGAACTTCCTTTTTCCATGGGGCCAGGAAGCTAGGGAGATACTTCAGTGCGGGATAACGCTCAACGGCATACTTTCCGGGGATACTAAAACACCGTTAGCGTCAGATCATGCTTAGATTATGTTTAGAGTAGACTCAAACTCACTTGACCATCGTTAGACGCTCCATAGCCTCAGCATTCCGCCTAACCACAATATCACTCCTCACGTCCTCAACCCTTCGTCCATAAGTAACAGTAACGATAACCGACGCAGCATATCTTTCCAAATGCAACCTAAAATTAGCAGGCCTCTTCAAAAGATCAAACATCAAGACCTTGGACTCGAGACTCTGGATCGGTCTGTACGTCTCACTCTGCCTCTGCATAAACCCACTATGCAGCAGCTTTCTCCACCGTCTCCAATACGAAGCATACGGCGCCATAAGCCCTCTCATTCCACCGGACAGTAACTCGCCGCCCATGATAAATCGTGGGCGCGAGGAGAATACAGCGCCGCGCTTCTCGAGAAGATCCCAGGCGGCTTGGGCGGAGCCGAGGATGATGGTTGGTGTTGGGCCGAGTTGGAGATAGACGACATCGCCATATTGCTGGCTGAGTTCTTGAAACCAGAGCCATGGTTTTCGAATGCCGGTTCTGATGGTTTTGGGGCCTGGGGGGAGTTGGGTGCGGTGGGAGTAGAGCTTCCATTCTTGTTGAAGCTAAAGTTGTGAGTGAGTATTGGTAAAGGGACGCTTATCATTGGTGGATTATGCTTACCCTTGGGAATATGAGGGCGAGATATGCCAGTCCCAGAGCGACGACAGCGTAGATAATGAGTTTCACCACCATCTTGTCAACAGTGAAGAGACCTTGACTTGTCAAACAGCAAGGTGAAAGGGAGCTCTGTCTGGGAGCGAGATGTATGTCAGTTGTCATCGGCTATCATCCGGTAATAAAAGAAGCCGAAAACATACACGCACGCATACATACAACCGAAACGACCTCAACTGCCACCCTCAACTGCCGAACCCAAAAGACTGGGTAAGCCACCCCCGCGTCGACGACTCAGACTAAAGGCATTAAAGGATGCCCTAATGACTCTGACTTCTCGAGGCGAGATGCCATGTTGTTCCCAACCCCGCGTTCTAAACTACAACCGGCTATGCCGAGATGTTTAAACCCGGGAGGTCTCCACTGAGCTAGAGATTGTGGGGGAGCAAGAAAACTGCTGACATTGGGACAACATGTCAAAATAGACTGGTCTAAACGTCATGGAACTCATTGCTGCATTTGCCTGAGAACTTTTGTCACTTCGGCTAGATGGCACAAGTTTTCTTGTGGCTACTAGATTGGTGGGACACTCCGACATCCTTGTTTTTCGGTTAATTTTACCCCGTGTTTAGATAAAGAGGTTGCATTGCATCGCTTTGGGATGAATGTGCAGAGGATATCGATTGAATCAGTATTGTCTTGAGTAACTCTGAACGGCTGCGAAAATGAAGAGTGACGCTTGGCTTAGCAAGCCCTTTTTGACTTCTATATTCCTTGGAATAGGAGGTTTCCTCTATGGATTGTGAGTCAATGCTCTTTATCAGTCATTAGAACCATGCTAACGGATTCAGTGACTCGGGTATCATCACGCCCAGCTTGGCGCTGAGTTCGTTCCTCACGTACTTTGGCAAACCTGACCCTCCCCTTCGAGGCGCCATTGTTTCCATGTACCAAGCAGGTGCATGGCTAGGCAGTGCTTCAGTAGGCATCACCAGTGATAAACTCGGTCGTCGCAAAGCCATTGCTTTCGGCTGCATCTGGGGAGTCATCGGCGGTGCGGTCATGGCTGGCGCCGCTCACGTTGCGATGCTCATCATCGGACGACTCCTCGTTGGTTTCGCCGTTGGAACCATCACAGGAGTATCTCCTGTATTTGGAGCAGAGATTGCAAAAACTCATGAACGTGCCAAAGTCACGGCTGTAAACCAGATGATGACAGCTTGGGGATTCTTCGTCGCGCTGTGGATTGGTGTCGCGGAGGGGAAGTGGCACAACGCGAATCAATGGCGTCTTGGGTTTGCGATTCAAAGTATTCCTGCTCTCATTCTTGGTGTGGGGGTCTTGTTTCTCAGTGAATCACCGCGTTGGCTTTGTCTCAAGGGCCGTCATGATGAAGCTGAGAAGGCATTCCGCGCTTATCACTACGACGGAACGAATGACGATTGGTGCCGAACTGAGTTCACTGTCATTCAAGTCAACATCTCCGAGGAGCTGCAAGCTCAGGGAAAGCTTTCATGGACCCAACTAGCCAAGACCCCTGCGTTCCGAAAACGTCTCTTTGTTGGTACGTTCGTCTGGGCAGCTGCTATGCTATCCGGCATTTCCTTCGTGCAGTACTACCAGACAGCTATCTACGCAACGCTTCAGTTCAGCGAGGATCGCCAGCTTCTCGTCAGTGGCCTTTACGGTTCTGTTGGTCCAGTCGCTTGCTTCCTATCTTTGTTCTTTGTCGACAAGATCGGAAGAAAGAAGATTCTGGTCATCAGTTCGTCGCTTTTGTCGCTATGCTACTTGATCATTACGGTCCTGGCAGCTGAATTCCCTGCTATTCCTGGTATGCCGACCAATGCTGCGGCGCAGAGGGGTTTGATTGCGTGTATTTTTGCTGTTTCGGCGAATTACTCTGCTCTTCTTGGACCGATGACCTGGATCATTCCGTAAGTCTCAAAGGCTTGTGGGTCTAACTTTTGTACTGATCGCGAGCAGGCCTGAGGTTTTTACTACTGAGCTGCGAGCCAAGGCAAACGCCATTGTGCAGGTGGTTCACTATTCCATTAGTCTTATCATCACGCAATGCTCACCTATCGCATTAGCAGCTGTGGGCTGGAAGTACTACGCAAGTCAGCCCTTGATTACTCAAACTATCAATTCTAACATTTTTCTAGATCCTGTTCGTCCTCACCAACGCGCTTTGTGCTATCATCTTCTTCTTTGTATATCCCGAGACACGAGGTAAGTCGGAGCTTTGTACTTGGATTCCACAGACTAACGAATTGCAGGCAAATCACTGGAAGAGATTGATGAGATCTTTGGTGATGTCAAGATTGTCCATGAAGAGGATGTCCGGTTCTCTGAAAAGACTGGCGTCGAGGCCATTGAAACAAGGGATCAGCGCATTATGCAGGGATCTTAGAGCGCCTTTCACAGAGCCAGACTTCCGATATCTGATGACGGTTCCAAGAATGGCTAGTCCCATCAGATGATACAAAGCAAGACGCTGTTTGTGCCCAGCTGAAATACAATCGGGTTCATATCGATATGTAGTTAATTATATCTTATAATACTCAGATATTCCTTTCCAGTGACTAAGTATATACAAATAAGTTACGAGCGTCAAGCTCGGATAGTGTGTGTATGGAGTAGTTTAGAGGCACTGAGAGTACCACTCGCTGTGCTTGGTACACTTCAGACCAGAAGCGCACTTGGTAGGACCAGTGTAGCCGGAACCGCCACCGCACTGAGCGTAAGCACCGGCAGTAGCGCTTGAGGTGCTCTCTTTGGCTGGCTTGGCCGCAGTCTGGGTAGCAGCCTGCTTGACAGTGGTAGTGGTAGGCTTAGCAACAGCAGTCTTGGTGCTAGCAGCCTTGGATGAGACGGGAGTAACAGCCTTCTCAGTTGAAGTACCCTTGGAGGCAGAGCTAGAAGCAGTAGACTGCCAGCCACGCTCCCGAGAAAGCTCATACCACCAGTTGCGCAACATCCAGCCGTCGAAATCAGTGACCTTGGTGGATGAACCAGCAAGCATGATGAAGTTGGTCTGGCCGGTGGGAGTCCAGTCGTAGAAATCGTCAAGGGCAAAGGTATGGCCGATCTCATGCTCGAGAATGTGAATGTCCTTCTGACCAAGGAGATTCATGAAGTACTCCCGTCCAATACGCTGACCCCAATCACCACCGGCTCCGCCCTGCATACCATCGGTCAGCCAGAGGGAGTTATCGTAGTGTCGCGCAGCGCCTCCGGGGCAGCTGCTGTAATCACCGTCCTGGTGGAAGAAACGGCCGCACTTCTCAGAGCACTGGGGAATGCCCTCGGCGTCTGTGTCGGTGTAGATATCAAGACCTTCGGTAGAACCCTGGAGAAGGCTCTTGTTCTTGACAGCCCATCCAACGACATTGATCTTGACCTCCTCGTAAGGAAAGTTATCGTAGCCCGAAACCCACTTCATCCAAGCACTATACGAGTCTTGAAGAGCAGCAGCAACCTTGGTGCGCTGCTCAGCAGTCACAGAAGCGCTAGACTCCCAGCGAACGCAGACGTTGAGCTGGCCCTTTCCAGCAATGACTTGGTCCCAGCCGTAGTTCTTGAAGCCGAGCGCGTCGCTGTAGGTCTTGACTTCGTGGTCCCAGACTTCCTTGAGGGGTGTGGCGAGGTCGGAGGGAGGGTTCCAGCCGGACTGGCGCTTGGTGGGACGGTTTCGGGGGATAGAGGTCCATGAGCGCGACTTGAGAGGGGTGAGGGCCTTCCAGACGGAGCCGTCGAGATCGGAGGTGGCGGAGTTGGAGTGGGCTACGGTCGACGTAGCGAGGGCCATGAGGCCAGCGGCGGAAGAGAAACGCATGGTTGTTGAAAGAGAGAATATGAGTTAGTTAAAAACGAGTGTTGTGTTGGAAAGAAACGAATGAACAGAAAAACGAATGTCTACCAGAGATGCTTGCTGAGCCTTCAACTCTCAAGTTCTAAGCTCAAGTTATATAGGATCGACCTGGTAAATCCAATCATATCTTCTTACGAGATGTTGAGAGAGTCTCATTGGCGGGATAATAACACGGAAACAATAGATTCTCCATCTTAAGAAACTGATCCATAATTTCTCGGGTTATTCAAGGATAGGGCTCTTGTGTCTGTGCTCTTCCGGTTCACCAATCTCCTAATATGGTTCATCTCCCGGCATGGCATGTCATCGTGCCCAATGGGGCAGTTCTCGCCATCTTAATGACGCCCGTGTAGCTATCCCTTGTCATGGACCAGTTGTTTGGGATTGTCGTCGGCGAACCTTATGTTAAGCTTCCAGAAGGCATCTAAGTAGTTTGAGTTTACCTATTTTATGCTTAAATATACTATCCGTCCAATTTCGTTTTCACTCAAGCCGATGCGAATTTACTCAATAGAAATCCTTCCTCGCACTTTCATTAGCCCCGGAGCTGCTACAAGAGCTCAAATGAAAGCTCGTGTTTCTCTAATTCATCTCCGTCAAAACATCCTTCGTTTCAGGCCAAAATCACACGGAATCTACCGTTGGCGCCAGTCTACTCTACTATTTCTTTGGTGGTGCTGATGGTCTGTTTCATGTTCCAGCGCTTGGTTCATCCTTAATCTGAGACGAGCAAGGATCATCCGAACCCGCGCATAGAGATGGATCTGATAAGTGGACATGAGATCGTATCCGAGTCTCCGGATTGTTTGATCCTATATGTGAAGAATTAAGGAAAATATCACGATCTCTCGATATAGTTCATTTGCGCGTATCCCTTATGGCACCTGACCTAAACCCGAGGTTGCTTCGGCTAATAAGTAGTAATCGGAGGCGGTCCCAGTGGCCTCTTATAAGTTATAGGCCGGCTTCTTGCTACTTCTAAGCGAATATGTATATGTGTTGGGTTGAAAGCGATTCAATCCGAGGTTCGACATGTTTTGCCTCTCCATCAAAGTGTGACGTTTGGCATTTAGATAACCTCGATAGTAGACCTGAAAGAACAGAAAAAGCTTCAACACTAGCGATAATTTAATCATTGAAAACAGCAGCTATTCACTCATTTGTAGTTCCTCCGATCATCATTACAGTCCTGCATTGACACATTGATATACCAGCTTGTCACTGCCATCTTCGGCCTTGACTGCCCAGCACAAGGCGGCCGAGTTCTCCATCTCCTTCTTCGGGACCACATTCCACTTGACTTCGCCTGCCCAGACCATCTCCCTGTTCGTAGAGTCAGCTAGAGCAGTGTCAAGCTGCCACTGACCCACGATGAATGGTTTTCCATCCTCTCCTAGACGCTTGCGCGGATAGATTCCCTGCATTGGGGGCTCAATTTCCTCGTCGCACTGGTCCTGACATGGACGACACCACGGAACTACCACAGTAGGGCCACCGCATTCCATCCTACATTCAGCGCATTGGAGACAGTAGGGAATTGTCACGTTAGATCCTCCACATTCGAGATAAGTTACCTCCTGGGAGGTACTTGGCCCTTGGGCTTGGACGAGGCTCAGAATGGCAACAAGGCCAATCCACTTCCGATACGAGAATACATTCATAATGATCTGAGCACTTGAAGTATCGTGGACTTCAAAGCCAAGGCCTGGGAGGAGTTAGCTGATTTTGACTTTTATGAAAGCTATGGTAGGTCAACTAACTTGTACTATTGGGCCGTGGTAGGCTGCGATTTAGGAAAGTTGATCTGTAATAACCAAAGTTTGGAAGAGGTGGCAGATGGAGAAGGCTCCAGGTCGAGAATAAAGGAATTGAGTTGATGTTATATAGAGAATCTTATTAGGCTTCTTTACAAATAAACGAAATACTAATACACATTAGGTATTCCCATGACCTTGTTCAACATGTGAACCAAGCCATCTGATAAGAATCTAACCAATAACTTAATCAATGAGGTATATATATCATTTAGACTTATGAACTACTTCTTTTTACTTTTTGAAATAGAAGAGTATCCTAATTATTACAGGTCAGTACTTCAACTGAATATTTCAGCTTCCATCGTGCTCTGAGGCCACTGGTTCTTGGCATTTCTCAGCCCTTCCCAAAAGGTCAGGGCTGTGTCAGATGCATATCTCAGTCCCGTTAGCGCTACGCCCGGAGACCAATAGATAGCCCAGATAGCTATCCGTCCATCAACGGAGAGGTCTTCGCTTCAACATGTTTAAATAAAGTTGGGGCGCTAATCATCTTTGCAGACGAAAAGAGCTGTCTCATGACGTTGTTTACTGCCGGAATGCCAAAAAAGGCTTAGGATGCAACTTGAAGTCTTCTCTATTTCAACGAATATGAATTGACTATTGGAAGAGGCGTTTATAATCTTCTTTTGTTGTCTTTGACTGGAAACACTTGAGATTGTAAGTCATGCTTGTTCAGTCCACTGAGCCAGACGTTGTTAAACATGTCCCTTCAGCTTCCCAGATAAAGGCTTACATTGGGAGTAACATGAGAATAGCAGCCTCAGAACCCTTGTAACTATTACTTATTGAGAATAGGGTTGATATTAGCTACCTGCGCTAACTAGAGGCCTATCACTCCTGTATCATATCCTTTGCCTGGTCCTGGATGCACACTTAAGCAGTAGTACCAGCCTTGGCTTGAGTGTTGCTGTTGGCGTTGTTATTGGCGGTGGTGCCAGTTTTAGCTGCTCCGTTGGTAGTACCAGAGTTGGCGTTCGTGTTTGCATTAGTACCAGTCTTGGCTGCCCCATTGGTAGTGCCAGTGTTGGCATTGTTGTTGGCGGTGGTACCAGTTTTAGCTGCTCCATTGTTGGTTCCAGTATTGGTGTTGGTGCCAGTTTTGGCTGCTCCGTTGGTAGCACCGGTGTTGGCGTTCTTGTTGGCGTTGTTGCCAGCCTTCTTACCCTTCTGGCCCTTCTTGCCAGTCTTCTTACCCTTCTTTCCCTTTTTGCCCTTCTTTCCCTTCTTACCCTTCTTGCCTTTCTTGCCCTTCTTTGCTGCTCGGGCTTCAAGCTCGCTAGATTCGTCCTCGTCGTCTTCCTCGACATCTCTGGTGGTAAGCTCGTCAGCGTCTTGTTCGGATTCGTCCTCGACGTCTCGCGCTTCAAGCTCTTCAGCGACTTCATCCCGCTTTCCATTCTTGTTGCAGTTGTTGACGGCCTTGGCAGCAGCCTTGCCGTGGGCTCCTTGGTGATGACGGGCGACGAGTCCCTCGACGGCTTCCTCGTCTTCGTCGTCTTCATCATCTCGCTTGGTCTTGCACCCCTCGACCGCCTTGGCATTGGCTCCCTTGGCACCCTGATGATGAGGCTGTCCTTGTTAGTCGATGGATGGGTAGGTAGAGAGTGGTGGAGGAACTTACAGCTCGCGCCTCAAGGACATCGAAGACAGGAAGTGCTCTAGCTGGAAGAGCAGCAGCGGCCACCAAGGCCTTTCAAGCTATCAGCTAGATACTAACGAGATTGTGAGGTAACACTTACAGCAACATGTCCAACACGAGCATGAGGGAAACGACGGTTATCCTGGGCAAGGGCCTGAGCGGCAAGAGTGGCGATGATAGCGGTAGAGAAATACATCTTGAAGAATAAAAGATATTAATGAGATTAAATGAGTTCTGACCAGCAGGTAAAGATAGAATTAATGCAGATTTAGAAACTTGAAGATATTGCGTCAAGCAAAGCTCAAGTGGATGAGGAATAGAAGTAAGATGAGTCGGTTGATGAGTGCAATTTGTGATAAACATGCCAAGCCTTATATAGCTATGGTCTCGACTCTGTCCATCTACGCCCATACCCTATTTGCCCAGATCCCATCCTCTTGGGGCAGCTTCTAGTGCTCGCCTCGTAATTGAATAGTAGTCAAACGTAAGCGACAAGACCAGACCTGAAGTGTTTTGAAGTTTCTGCAAACAATGCCGTACTTCCTTATAGTCGAGATCCGAACTAACCGATCTATACGAGTGATGGTATCACAAGACTGTATGTCTCTTAGTAGAAAAACCACTGTGCGGCTAGAACGGCCTATTATGAAACTCAGGTCCTGGCCGGAAGCCGACAAGCTGGGCCTGTCTGGTAGAAGCGTTTCAAATGATTGGGCGACCCCTGACGGCTATTACACTTTGGATGGAACCATTCTTTGTTTCGTCTTGGCGTTTCAAGACTGTTGTTGTAAGCCGACTAACCGTACAATTACGAAGACACCAATTAAACGCCAAGAATCTTAAGTCTGGGATGGAATTATTGCATCATTCGGTTCATCGGCGCCGCCAGCAGAACTGGAGTGGTTCGGCGCCCTCAGAACCCGACGGAATGGGCGGTCTTCCAGTCCTCCCCAGTCAAGACTCAAGATCGCTGGGTCAGAATCTAATGTGCTATTGACCACTTCAAGGCTGTGACTTCAAGTCAATGGCTTCGAGCTCGGTCTATAGAGAAAGGCTAGGTTGCAGCTTTCGCCACCATAGTTGTATATCTCGCGGCAGCATTTTCAGTAACGCGACACCGTAAGCGTAGTTATTAAGATTCCAATTCATTGATTGATGACAGCTTGTTACTTGTCTAAGATTATGGGAAGATCAAACATACAGCTGGGATTACGCGAGTCGACATTCCTTGGATTTTGCAGATATCACCCTATAGTCATTATGCCCTCCTCGATCCCTTTGATCAGCCATTTCTATTTCTCGTCCCTCGCAGAGAAAAACCCCTTAGGCTTTATCACTTATTCGCGTATCCTCATGGCACGTGAGCTAGACCCGAGTTTTCTTCGGCCAAACCCGATTCGGGTTTGGACCCGAAAAACAACCTCACGAAAGGCAAACCCGAAGCCCCGCCTGAATCATCCCAGACTCATATCAATTGAAACGCGAGATCGGAAACACAGACGATGAGAACGACAATTGCGTGTGAGAGGTAACTAGCCAAATCTTCAATGCCATATATGTAGTTCTAACGTGTTTGTAGATGCAGGTAATACCGCTATTCTAAGACCCAAGACTGCGTCTGACCACCGGCAATAGAAGATCTAAAGTCAAATGCAGACATAATGACCAGCCCCCTTGTGCAGGCTGTATAAAGAGCGGCTGCACCGAGACCTGTGTCTTGGGCGGTCCAGTTCTTGGCCAGAGCTCAGGGCCGAAAAGACCTGCTAAGAGACAGCGATTGAGTGTTGATCAGAGCCGAACAGATGTCTCAGGTGATGTTTGGCAAGATGTTAATCAAGCCTTTGAACAGACGCCTCGAACGCAAGTGATATCTGCCATCAACTTATTTCGGGCCCAATTTCCCGAGTTTGGCTTTCTCCATCCGGATGATCTTGAATATCGACAAGATGGACTCAACGTCGTTCAGAAACTCCGACTCCTCGTCATTGTTGCAGTGTCACATCGATATACAGAGACTTACACCGCCGATATCAACAACAAGAATATCCTCTTCATAGCCAACGAGGTACAAAAAAGGGTAACGACTGGCCCAAGCCTAGCTCTCATTCAGACCTTCCTCATACTATCGCTCTGCAACTGGGGAGACGGAGATGGTTTCAATGCTTGGATGCATTGCGGTATTGCAACGAGAATGGCTCAAGGGCTACTCAGCACTGGTTTCGCAAGCTGTGGCAAAAGAGAGACGCTTTCGGAACTTGAGAAGAGAACATTATGGACGTGCTTCAAGATGGACAGACTGCTAAGTTGCGGGAAGAGACGACAGGCTATGTTCTCTGATGGAGACATGCACTTCTCACTCCCCGTGAACGACACCCAGTTTCTCTTTGGGCAGAATCCTCAGCCAACAACAGTAGATGATAGTCTGAGAAGCCATGGAACAGATGACCATCTTGTTCTTCTCATTCAAGGTTTACGTATCTGGTCGAGAATTCATACTTGGATCGCTGAAGGCGGAAGAAGACAGCCCGGTATGACGGAGCCAGATCAGTGCCCGTTCAACGAGACTTCAGATTGGAGCAAGATGAAGCAGGACTTGATCAAGTGGCGAGGGTCTCAGGATGCTCTGATGAAGTATCCTGCTACCAAGGTATCGGTGCATGCTCAGCGAGGACAGGCTGAGAGGTTTGGTTACATCAACTTGGTGTACTACGTCAGGTAAGTCCTGCATCTCAACTCCAAGTTCAACACTGATCAATAGTAGTTTACTCTTTCTCTGCCGAGAATTCATCCCCTTTAGTCCAGTAGATGAAGTCATACCCCGCGGCCCCATCGAACCACCACTGCTTAAAGCCCGAGGTCCCGATTCATTCTGGCTGCAGAACGTCTTCGATCTCTACGACGCAGCATCCCAAATATCCTCTCTCCTCTCCGATCTCGAACACGTCGGCTGTCCCCTCCGCACCCCCTTCTCCGGCCTATGCGCCTTCTCTTCTACTCTCTGGAGCATTTACGGCGCAGCGTTCCCCAATTTCATGGGCTTCACGCCAAGTCAAACCTCTGACGCTGATGCCCAAGCTGGAAGGACTATGGCCGTTTTAGTAAGGATAGGCAAAGTTTGGAAATTGGCGGAGGAGTGGATTGATGTTCTGAATACGGCGAAGAGTATCATGACGAGGGTTAGTGAGGGGAGGAGGGTTAAGAAGTCGAGGTATGATTATCCGGAGTTGGAGGACTCTATACATCTTGCGCCGTTGCAAGGCATGCCGAGACAGACGTTTGATAGGCCTGCGGGTTTGGTATCGGCGGATGATGGATCGAAGTTGCATCAATTGGTTGCTGGCGATGCTGAGAAGGGCGTGGAGACGGATGGGCTCGGGTTTCTAGAGGAGACGAGTGGGAGTGAGTTTGTGGGCGAGGATTGGTGGAGGTTGTTGTCGTTTTGTGATGATCCGCACCTTTTGTCGACGAGCATGGATAATATGGGTGATGAAAACGTAGCTTAGGTCATGGTTTGTTTAATTCTAAAGTTAATCTTCTCTGAAACAAACTTGTCTCGTATCCTGCTGGAAAGATAGTTCTACTCAGCTTATCCTAAACTAATCTGAACCAGTCTTTATTATCCTAAGGTAGTCTGAATTATCCTAAACCTGCAGTGCTGAAAGCTGCTATGCCATTCGTTCGCGTCTCCTCGAAACCCGAAAAGGGTATCCAGATCCGAATCGCTTTTCTAAGCCGAGTGGCTTCAGCTCCACCTCAAACTTGATAAGAACCGACGGAGCATCATTTTCTTCTTTATAAACACATTCAATCGTCTATTCAAAATATTCTTTCCTATCTTTTACACTTAAATGTTCATCTACTAAAGGAACAACCTCTTACAGCATACAATGGGCGACCTTCAACTCTCCTCGGCCTCAGAGCCCCATCTTATGCACCGCTCCCTCCTCACACGTCCAGAAACCGTGTCATCCGCATCAGGAGTCTGGATCACACTCTCATCCGGCCGCAAGATCCTCGATGGCTGTGCAGGCGCTGCGGTCTCCATCATCGGCCATGGAAACACGGAAGTCCGCGATGCAATGGTCGAGCAGATTTCGAATGTGTCGTACGTGCACACCATGGCCTACACAACCGACAGTGCAGAGGATCTCGCAAACTTCGTCCTAGAAGGAGAGCCGTTTGACTTGACGAGAGCGTACTTTGTATGCTCTGGTAGTGAAGCTATGGATTCGGCAATGAAGATTGCGAGGCAGTATCATGTTGAGAATGGACAGCCGCAACGAACCAAGTTTGTTTCGAGAAAACGAGCGTACCATGGGAACACTATCGGTGCTATGAGCATGGGTAGTTTTGTGGCGAGAAGGGCGCCGTATGAGGGTGCCATTCTTCTCGACAATGTCAGCTACGTCAGTCCAGCTTATGAATACCGGGTACGAAAGGATGATGAATCAGAACAAGATTACGCACAGAGATTAGTTGACGAGCTCGAAGCAGAGTTTCAAGCTGTCGGTCCAGATACCGTCATGGCTTTCGTTGCAGAGACAGTCGGTGGTGCAACAGCAGGTTGTATCTCTCCCCCTGCCGGATACTTCGAAGGTGTCGGAAAAGTCTGTCGAAAGTATGGTATCCTCCTTATCCTCGACGAAGTCATGTGCGGAGTCGGTCGATGCGGTACATTCTTCGCCTTTGAGCAAGACGGCGACGTTCGTCCTGATATCGTCACAACAGGCAAAGGTCTCGGAGGCGGATATGCTCCTATCGCTGCGACGTTGGTGCATAGAAAGATCATCGAGACATTGAAGAAGGGAACAGCGAGCTTCAATCATGGACACACATATCAAGCTCACCCCGTGAGTTGTGCAGCTGCACTAGCTATTCAGAAAATCATCCGTCGAGATAACTTGGTTTCTCGCGCTGCTACTCTCGGAGAACGATTACACAAGTCCCTAGTTGAAGTCTTCCAAGATCTCAAGTTTGTGGGAAATATCAGAGGGAGGGGTTTGTTTTGGGGCATTGAGTTTGTGAAGGATAAGAAGACCAAGACACCTTTTGATAGCAAGATTCATTTTGGTGTCAAGGTTCAGGAGAGGGCTTTTCAGTTGGGTTTGGCTGTGTATCCTGGTTCTGGAACTGCCGATGGAATAGTGGGTGATCATGTTATTGTTTCGCCGCCGTTGACGATCACGGAAGAAGAGATGGACGAGTTACTTGTGTTGTTGAAGAGGGCTTATGATGATGTTGCTGCTGAATTTAGCTAATCTGCACAAAATGCGGTATTTATAACCGTCATGTTCATTCATAGCTTGGGGGCTATTTCCAGCGTCCTCCCATGATAGCCAATTTGAAACCACAAGGCGTGGGGTCTATCGTTATATATATCCTCTAGTTGGCTTCTTTCCTCGCCTTTCTCCACCAGCTGAGTCAAGTTTGTACACCACATTTACAATCACAATTTTGGGCACAGTTGGTGACTTACAGCATGTTCTCACCGAAAAGCTTAGCCTGGATCCGGAGGAGATCACAGATGTGTTTCGCCAGAACCCCATACATTTCAGGGTATTCTAGATCCAGAGCAAGAAGTGGTCCACGAGCTTGATTCTTTTATCATCGAATATAGGTGGTCATGTTATCTCCGTTTGTCCTACCATGCCCGTTGCTTGGCATAAGCAGCCTGTCAAAAGGGTGTAACACGAAGATGGCAATGCTTTTTTTAAGGCTGCAGGTTCTGGACTCTGCTATTGTTCTTGCGTGTATTGCATTACACTGACATACGACCATTATCGCTGTATCCTTTCGCCGATTGCATTTGTTACTATGGGTATAAGGGTAGGCTATCAGGTTTCTCCAGACAAGGGAATGCCAAGGGCAATGGAACTAGTATAGTCGCGGGCTCATGGCATGGACGCTTCTGTCTTTCGACTGTGCTGTGGCATTCTATTTAAAACAAAGAGGCGTTATTAATTGGCTGACATGTCGGTGCTCCCTACAGCCACAGCGCGAAGCCTGCCATAAGCTGCATATTTTCCAACAGCCTGCTTCTCAAAACAAGGCTGTGGATATAAATGAAACTTGGCTCTTGCAACAACCTCAATTCATGTGCTTCTACAACCCATTCGACCTCTTTGACTACGCACTGGCTCTCGTGTCCGTGACGAATTGTTTTCATCGCTAAGGTCTCCGCCTTCTTACGTCGAGAACGATCGTGAACGAGATGAACCGTCGATCGCCGCTACCGACGACATCATGCTTCTACGCTCAAACGAATACCACGAATCTCAGATGTCTCAGAGCTCTGATTTGGCTAGGGATGGAGCTGAGCCTGGAAAGTATGGCATGAAAATCCCTGGGCTTGCCTTCATGAAGCGCCGCAGTGACGACTTCTGGAAGGCTTGGCAGGTGTACAGACATAAGCCTTGGAATATGTGTCTTTTGGTCCTTATTGGCACTCTGTTCGCTGTTGGCCATCACCTGTTTTACCTCCGCCTGAATGGCAAAGAGGCTATGAACCAGTCTCTAATGTTACGGTACGGTACTATCGTCGCATTCTGTGCCAAAGCTAGTCTCGGTACAGCTGTTACTATTGCGTTTCATCAAAGAGCCTGGAAAGTAGTCCGAAATAAAACAGCCTGGGTTGAGACTATTGACTCAATTTTCACCGCTAAGTCGGATATCTTCTCTCTCTTTACCTGGGGTTCTATCCGGAAAGCGAAAATCGGCACTCTCCTTGCGCTTTACTGCTGGCTCACTCCTCTTGTGGTCGTATTGACTTCTGAGACTTTGTCAGTTTTTGTCGGTGTTTTTGAAGAAACTACGACATGCACGTCTATCCGGACCTTGAACTTTGAAAACGAGGAGAAGGTATATTGGCGGAATCCCCAGAGAATCGATGACCAGTTCCTGATTTCCATGTCTTTATGGAATTCAACCTTTGACAATAGTGTGAGTGACTTCAAGGGGGAATACTTTGACTATTACACCTACCCTAGCAGGCAGGTCGACAACTTCATCGCCACCAAATCGATGCTGATGGGCGAGGCCATAGTTCGCAAGGAGTCAGCGGTTGAGATCTGTGGAGAGGGATGGAACTGTTCCTATGTCATTAACTTTATTGCTCCTGGCTATAAGTGTGAGGAGCTAGCATATGGTGTAAACTCTGAGGTTAAGGAGCTCGGGAATGCTACAGCACCATTCAACACCTCTGTGTTGGCGCCCACGGGAAACCTGACGTATTGCGCCGTCAACGACTGTGGCGAGTATGGCAATCCCCAAATGGTGTCTTATCCTGGGGGGAGACCAAAACACCATCCCCCATATCCGGACAGCTTTGGAGCCTTCAGAACGGAGCCTGTCATGTGGATTGGTTACGCAACAGTGGATGACCTTTCAGTCCCTCAACCAGAGACCCCAGGCACAGAGCAATGGAAGGATGCATATACACCCGTTATCATCGGGTGCGAGCATTACGAAGTCAACTACACTGCCCAGTTCAATTACACAGGCGGTGCACAATTTGTTGACATTCAGAAACGCGAATACCTAAGAAAGGTGGTCGATACAACTTACATACTTGAGAGAGACCCCGATAAGAGGTTGAAAGATCGGACGCAAGCTGTTCCCGAGAGCAACTATATACTCCCCACCAACGTCAAGAAATACCGCCGAACAGCAGCTTACCATTCCATCGGCTTTATGTTGAGGCAATGGCTCAATGGAACTACGACGATGCCGCATTACAATGTAAATTCCGAGCTCCTATACACTCGGCTGATCACACCGGTAAATTACCTCCCAATCAAGAACTTCCGGCAGGGTATACAGAGCCTTTACGAGGATATGATCATTTCTCTATTTGCAGAACCTTCCTTCAGTGTAGTCTCATGGGCGGCGAATGGGAAACCGTCTGGTATTGCCAAAGGAGGTCCATTAACGGCCTATCCTTGCCGACGTGAGAGGATAGCGACTTTCTTTCACTACGACATGGCCCAGCTTCTGGGTGTTTATGCGGCGAGTATATTTCTAGCGGGCATTGGTGTGTTATTGGGGTTGCAAGCGTATCTTGAGGAGGGCGCTATGCGCGATATGAAGCCGTCTTCTATAATAGAAGCTTCGCGGGCGTCGAGTCTTGATGTACTGGGGGCACGGCAGGGAGGGGGTGTCAAGATTGGGTATGAGCTTGTTCATGAAGAGGCTGGTAGGAGTGTGGGAAGTTTTGGGGTCGAAGGTCATGTGCAGCAATAGCGACGAAGGAGAATTGGACTATTCCTCGAGTTCGGCGAAATCGCTAGGGCATTGAGTGACCATTTATCGGGTTACATGCGCTTGGCGACGACCACCATGCCCTTTTTGGGCCCCCTACCGCATTACTTTTATTTATTACCATGATACTTAGGTCTCCTCAATGCCTTTTACTCACTTATTATAGGGTTCTGGTCATTATTTGCTTGTAAATGTCGGGGATTGAGCTCTTGTTGAACATGTCCTGCATTCCTGACTCAACTTGTCTACTCATCTGTATGCGCCGGCGTCCTCCCAAGCAGAATATAGCATGCTTTTGAGAGGTATCTCTACTCAATTGGCCGGGGGTTGATTGGACAATTCCACTGTCGGTCATCAGTCGCATGACCTCAGCGACAATGAAACCGTCTACCGGATGTAGATCGACAACACTTCCGAATGACTGCATATCCCACAATCGCCAGCATCTCTCAACCTACCGAGGGCGGCCTCCCCGCATATATGCACCTGCTCCTCTCAGGGTTTAGAGTGGGTTGATTGTTGTGCCTCAAAGCGATGTCTCGGCAGCTGCAGCATTGGCTGAAAAGCCGCCCACGGCCCGCGGCCTTGTGTTCCAGCGCATCATATCGAACCACCCCAGACCATTCTTCAAACAACCCGACAAAATACTTTCCAATAGGTTTGAGGACTCTCAAAGTTTGTCAAGAATAGGAACTCGTGTTCAATTGACAAAAGCATTGGTGAGTTCGGTTGCTCGGCCGTTAGTGCTGAGGCTTAGACAAGCACGATACGAACGATGAAACCAATGAAACCAATGAACATGATAGGGGACTCTACCGCCCAACCACAGCAACCAGAAACTGTATAGAAACAAAAGGGTCCCATGGTTTCATGGTCTCGATCTGCAGTGGCTCTGACAGCTGTCGGGGTTCCGGGAGTGTTTCGGACAGTCCACGGAGCCCGTGGAACACCAAACTCCGCGCTCCTCAGCGAGCGAATATGGGACGACACGGGAACAAGATATTATGTAATCATTCATCGGGCTTATGGTCTAGGGGTATGATTTTCCCTTCGCATCTTCAATCTGACAAGATCAGAAGCAAGATCTCTGGGAAAGGTCCGGGGTTCAATTCCCCGTGAGTCCATGGTTTTTGCTGTTTATGGTGATTCTTTTTGTTGGTTGTGATTGTGGTTATGTCAGCTTTAGGGAATGGTGATAACGTGCATGATAAGCGAGTGCTCCAGACAAGCGAGTGCTCCACCAATCTACACGTGAAGACTCAGAAAGAGAAATAAAACACCACAACATATCTGATCAATTAAAATTAATCGCTAGACTATTCCCTATTAACCTCAATTGACTCTTGACAGGTCCTTGCAGTATGCCCGGTCTTTCCGCAAATACTACATCGCCGAGGCTTTGATCCTTGTGACCT